GATCCGGATATCCCCCCCAAATACGCCAGAACTTTTGTAGACCCACAATTGATGATCTTCTGCTCCTTGAAGCTTCTGCTGAGATAGCCGTTCTGATGCCCTCCAGGGAATGTTGGCGCAGTTTAGCAAACGAGCTCTATTTTCCCCTTCGAATCCTGTCGTTCCTCGAGGTCCATATGGCCCATAGTACAGAGGCTCTTACTACCTCCCCTGCATACATGCGTGTTTTGTCTTTTACAATCCACTGATACAACTGCCCCCAACAGGATGGCTGCAGTATCGTCCTCAGACACCGCAAGGGGGGTTTTCTCCGCCATCTCACCCTTCCACCATTGCCACAGTTCCATGACCTGTGGGCATTGCACAAACAGGTGGGGAATCGACTCCATCTGGCCGCAGGCTGCACAGCCTGTATCGAGGAACTGGCTCTTGCTCGCTTGCCACTGCGCAGTGGGGACAGCCAAGTGATAGATTGACCATAGCAATGCAGCCTGTTTCTGGTTAGTGAATGCTTTAAGCAAAGCATTCTGTTCTCGCCAGACACTAGCTTTCCATYTGTGCAGCTTGGTATCTGGCACCCATCTGCGCTTGTACCATCTGCCCACAAGGTCCTCTCGTATGTCCTCCTTAGGGAGCAAGGAGCGGTACATCATCTTCGTGGTAACCTGGTGGAGAGGGGTTCTTCTGAGGTGATGGTTCTGCCTGGGCCAGGACCATTCTTTTGGGTCGACTAACATCTGTCGCCTAGTCCTTCGTACACAGAAAGGGAGGTAATCCTCAGTTGACTCCCCCACTCTACCTCCCTTACATACTGCGACAGTCTCAAAGTTAGTTCTGCAGATCGTGGTCTTCCCTATACCTGCACAAGGCCTCATTGAAGAGCCCAGTCCCTCGTAGCCTGAATGCACCTCCCATTGCTGGGTGTCTACCTCATGCCCATTCACGCCTGTGATGCGAAACAGAACAGTGGGGTGGGACTCTCCCTTCTTCCTAAGCCATTCACCTTCCTGCAGGCTGTCGGTCCTTAACTGGTCCACCCATTGGGTGGGAATCGCCTCTCTAAGGTCTGTCAGTCGCTGTTGTCTGTGAGGTTGGTAGGGAAGCCGCTCCGCCATCTGCTCCGCTGAGGCCCAGTCACCGCTTTCGTCGCACCACAGGTGGCCGATTTTAAAAACTCCGCATTCCACCCATTGCCTCCCGAAGGCACCCCTGCTCCCTGTCCAAGCATACCGGTCCCCCTCGGGCGTGCAGATACAGGGATTATCGAATAGAATCTGGTTGTATACTTCGTCGACCGTGGTTGGGAGCGATTGCTCAGGCTGGATCTCCTTCCAACATGTAAGCATAGTGAACCAAACATGGCTGCGTTTCATGTGTTTGATGCTAGCCGGGCATGCCAAGGCGAGGATGACCATCTCCACAGGGATTCCTGCCGCCGCAGCAATGTGTTGGTGGGACAGGGGTTCCCAGGCACTTCCCATGATACCCTGCAGAATCGAGAGCAGACTTCTGAGTTGCAGGGCCTTGATTTGCAATTCCGGGTCGATAATGCCCA